CTTTCAGGGCCACATGGTGGTTATACTGGACACCGACATGGGAACAAACGTGGAAACTCGTGGACCGGTGGACCATTGGTGGACGTCACTGGTGGGTGGTTTCGGTGCCAGGATTATAGTTGTTTATTTTACCGTAGCTTTCCATAGACTGGAATTCTTCTCCAACTGAGTGGACGACCCAGGTCTTGATCCCGTGGATACGCACGTGCAGGACTCGCGGACCAACCAAGCCAACAAAGTCACGTGGCAGTTCCTTGTGGCACAGAGTTGTTCTCTACATCGGGAGAAGAACCGCTTGACTGTACTACTGGTGGTAGGATTTTTTGGGGCCATCATGTCAAACAAAGAACTCTAAACCAAATCATTGGGCAAATTGGGCTGCTATATATTTCTCTCTCCATCAACCCTTTAGAGGCGGAACCATTCAGAATTTGTCAAATGGTTTTGCCAGTAACCGTTGTACTTGTCCACTTGAGGATAATTATGATGTATACATTGAGCAGCGTCTTCGATGACTCCCTGATATTGAGCTAGGAGTTCTCCCACATCATCCCACCACAGCCAATCCGCCCAGCCCGCTCTAAGTTTATAGTTTATAGGGAGAACATGAAGCTCTCATTTGTTTGCGGACTACAACTACCTGGCTGCTGACACCCTGCAGAAACAGCCACTGCCAGTCACTCCGTACCATCTATGATGCCAGCTCTCCAACTGCTCTCCGCCCACCTGCTCCCAGCGACGCTGACACAAGCTTCCAGGCCAGTAGCACAGGAGCTTAAGGCAGATCCGTAGCTGCGTGCATCAACTGCCGCCTGGAGCGTGGCAACATGAATCCGCTGCTATGCTGCTGGTCACGATCGTCATGAACACCACCATCATCATGATCGTTCTAAAAAAAACTTGAATCCTTGACATGTTTTAGGTCTACATGCAGCAAGCTATAGATTAAACATCATTGACCGAATAACCAAATGTGTCCAAATGTTTGCAGCATTTTGCAGCTAACATTGGCTAAGGAGGGTTGGTGTGCTTTATACCTGGATATTCAAACGGCCAGCTTTTTTGGGGCCAAAAGGCATTTCGTCGGGAAAGGGGGTTGCAAAGCTGTGTTAGTTGTAAAAACCCTATGGACAGGGAAATGCTGTCATGCTGTTTGGACGCCTAACAATTCCCACCTTGCCGCCACACATTTTGCCGGTTTCCTTCGCCTTTGGGAAGACACCGTAAGGGATATGTTTCTCTTCACAGGCAATCACGGTGCCCTTTGAAGGGGCCAGGTTTTGCTAGCTCAAATGAAACACATCAGCATAATCATCCGTGAACGGCTGTGAATGCACCAGGCCCAGAAGTCGCGGTGCGGAATGTGGTCGCTCGTTGGTTGGACCTGCTCGAGCCAAAGCTCTGCCCTCACAAGGCTGGAAATGTTCCGGTTTGCACATGTTTGCACTATTCGTGCTGCCACTTCGCTTCAAATTCAACCGCTCAGTAACATGAGCGTTGCTCGGTTGAGGAGGTCAGCTAACATCCATGGTAAGAGTCGGTTTGAGCAGCAGGCATTGGTAGAATGGCATTCCTGACAAATAAAGAAACTGCTTAATAATTGATAAGCGGTCTTGCGAACTGTGTTCTTCCAGCACTCCAAACTAATTCGCCCTCAAGTAGCTTGCACCCGGCATCTCAAACAAAAACCTGTATCGAAGAAAATCATCTCCGCTCAAGTCTGATAGAATGTTGGATCATCTCGGAAGATTCTGCCCGGTACACCTGCAAGTTGCAGATCCACTCAGCTAGGAGTTCAAATCGCGTGCCACCGTCGTGCCACGCGTCTTCCGACGAAAGATCCGTCCCTGGCGTCACCGCTGCGGTGGAACCCCAACTCGCCACACGTCGCCTTGCTCCGGCGAAAGTCGCCGAAGAGCTTCAACGCCTGGCAGTCGCTCGGTCGACCATGGTCGAATGTCATCTCACAAACAGTCAAGTGATGTCAAGTGTCAGTCGTTTTTGTTGGTTCTTGTTCATTCCTCTTTTTAAAGTCGCGACTTTTTGACCTTAATCTTTCCATGTTAAAGTTTATTTGTTGCATGATTCGTCAAGGTTCACCACACCCAAAGTGGTGTCTATGTTCTCTCTTGGCGCCACAGGAGATCTGGAAGTAACTGGTATGTCATGTTTGTTGTCTGTGTTGCTCGTGTTCCAATACTTGTGAAATCGATGTCAAGAGTTGATTCCCATAGTTGACTTTGCTCTGAACAGGTTTACTATTGCTTTGATTCCCCTAAAGAAGACCGAAGTCGGGACATGTCTATGTCGACATGTCTGTGTATAATTGTTCTTTTACGAAAAAAACAACAAAAACAACTGTTTCCTTCCCACGTGAACCGCGCCACCGGCTCAGCTTCACGCTGCCGGGCTCAGCTTTCCAACGCTGTTCGCCTCCGCCCACAGGCTCCGTCGCTCCAAGGCGCTGACGGCCGCGCTTTGGCCGACGCTGTTGGGCCTGGGTGCGTCGCTGAGGGGTCGACCCTGGACGGTCGACGTGGACGTTTTGGACGGTTCTCTGTGGAGCTGGACGGTCGCTGTTTGGTTCCGAAGGTTTGGTGAGAAGAAACCGGAGGGAAACCCGTGGCCGCCGTGGCCGCCGGCCGGCGAGAAGAAACAGTCTCTCGATGTGGTGTTTCAAGGAAGACTCGTCGATGCAGAAAAAGACTCGTCGACTGAAGTGAGATGGTTGGGGAGTCGATAACAAACCAATAGTTACCCGGTCGTAGTGGATGTGAAGCAACCATGCTATAGCATGATATAGCATGTATGGATTTGAAGGTGAACTCACTCAAGCCGTCGGGCCTATAGTGAATTGGGACTCATGACATGAGGTAACACGTCATAACACCCTGGAAACTGGTTCTTCCTTGTTTGTGCAGGCTGGTTGGCTGCCTCATTTGGCTAGTCCATGTTCAGGGTTTAAAGCTAGTATTCGTTCTCTTCAGCAAGGCTCCGTGCTTGGTATCGATTCTTCTTGTAGGACACTCGCCTGCTTGCTCCTTCAAGACTTGCTCCCTCTGGGATTCTGACTCTGGGTGGAAAAGTCAAAGGTCAAAAATGAGGCAACACTCCAGTGACCTTCATTCAACAGCAAACCCAACAAGTAATTAATTGTAAATATATGACATTATCTGACTGTCCCAGTGGCTCCTAGCTGCTAGCCCGTTGGCTCGCGACCAGTGGAGCATCTTGGCGGCCGCACAGTCCAAGCTTGAACGTGTTCAAATAGTCCAACAGCAACAACGTCTCCTGCAGTCCGGGTGGGAAGTGAGACGAGACGCTTTGGGGCTTGTCTGGTTTGGTTGTTTTGCTTGAAATCAGAAAGGAACTGGTACTATGGACTGAGAATCAAACATAACAAATAGTTGTGTTTTCCAGCCAAACCTAGTGTGCTGGGATTCTTGGCTGTGACCTTCGTTCAGGATGACAAGTGTTACAGCCCATCAGGCCAAGGAGAAAATATCAAGTAAAGTCTAAGCTCCAAACAATCAATGTGTGTGGCCTTCTGAGCTTGATCTTTGAGTGCATTTAATCCGGATAAGCTGCTGTGTGAACATGTCGATGTTGTGCTTCCGACGTGCTAGTTTACTTTTTGGGAGTCTTTGTGGTGGTTTCCTGCGCAGAAAAAACGTTCAGTTGGAGCCAATTAGTTAGACCACGGTGACTCCTCCTCTCCCCGCCTGCCACCGTGCAGCTTTGGCACAAGCACCCAAGCCTAGCTCGTGGCGGGAAACAAAACACTGGTCAAACACTGTCTTTCAGTGAATTTAACAGATAGACAAAAACAAAGAAGTGCCCAATTGCTAATGTACATTAGGATTTATGTCCACCTGGTGAATTTTTGAGAGTGCTTTTTTGAACCACTGCCCAAAACAAGGTGCGGTGTGATCTGTCCAACGTCCTGTCCTGGTTTAGGTTGGAACGACTAAACAGTTGCCATCCGCCACATCTTTCGTAGATTCCCATGGTCAATTGACATCAGCCCAAACGAGCACTTCAGCGTGCATGTGTGGAAAAATAGAGTTTGCACCTCTCCAACTATCATGAAGTGTAAAGTGGCACCTTTCATAGAAGACGACTTTCATCTACAAACAGGGGTCTTCTGCCAAACCATGTGACTCTTGGATAATAATCTACGGATTTGTCAGGTATCCGCAAAGCAGGGTAGCAAAAGCTGCTTCCGAAGCAATTTACTAAATAAGAGACTATAGGCTACGGAAATAGAATGTAATGGAAATACACTGTAATGCCAGTGGGTGGGCGCGCGGGTCTGTCGTTGATCCGGTATCCAGGTGCCTGAGAGACATGCTCTCAGGTGCCTGAGAAGCTGTCGTTTTCCGTAACGGTTAAAGAGTTGTACTACCAACATAGAGCCAAAGGGGTCCATATCACCATCTAAGTCCCCGCAAGGGGGCACCTTCTTCACTCTGTAGAAGAATGCCATCCCGCTCTTCAGAGATGGATGAACTCGGCTGCGCCGCTGTTCGCTCGGACGCACCGCTAAGCTCCCGGCCTGCACTGACGGCGTAGGCATCGAGCTTCAATGTCCTGGAGCTGCGCGGCGGGAGCGCGGAGGAAGAAGGACCAGGAGATGTCTCAAATGGATTCAAAGGATCCCAATGAGGAACATCTTTGTCCGCCTTTTGTGCTGTGTAGGTCTGCACAACTTCCATAAAATCGTGCATAACTTCCAGTAAAAGGCTAGTGCGTGTTAATATTATACATCATAACTACATCATATAATATATATATAATAATCATTGTAACATCTATGTGGGTGGAATCGGGTGGATCTCAGGTGGAATCGGGCCGTGTCTGGCTTCAGGCTTCGGATATCACCGGTCTAATATGGGCCACGGTAGCCATGGGTGTAGCACAAAAAACAGCTCCAAACAAGCCGCTCGTTCGCCACTGGTGGCACTGCAGGACGCGCGAAGAGCAACGCCTTCTGCTGTGCCTTTTTCTGCTCGCTCACACCTTCGTCTCACTAGGTTGGTCGAAGATCCGTGTGCGCTTTTGCATGAAGGCCACCGAAAGGAGGAAGAGCACAAAGGAGAGCAGAAAATGCCAGCTGGAACACCAACCTGGGATCATTCGCAGACCTCTCTGTTGTCTATACAAAAGAGCTTTCATGCCTCCCCTGTGTGTGAGTCACAATTCTTGCACTGGAATCCCTGCCAGGGCCGGCCCTCTGTGGAACACTGAACGATGCTGTGCCTGTGCCCCGGAAGTATGCACCAAACAATCCAAGGGACTGGACAATCTACATGAAAACGGTTACCGCTTTAATCACCCAAAGTGGATCAGTCTATATCAGTCTCAATTATTTTTTGACTGGAGGTATAGAGAACATGAACATCTGAACAGCGCCCACGACCCGCTCCGAAGCTGGGCAAATCATTTGTTCTGCCTTCCTGATCACCATTCTAGTTCCAGTATATTCCAGTAATTAGTGGCTGAGTCGGATGCTAATCGATTATCATGCCCCTGGCTTTGTCAAGCGAAGTCGGATCCTACGAATCGTCCCGTTCAAGGTTGGTAATTTTCCGGATCTTGAAGGGAACGTGTTCCCAGAATGACATTGAAAGCAGCTTAGGATCGAGCTGTTGCTACAGCAAATGGAAGTACATTATATAGGTTCCCCCCCCAAACAGACAGTGCTTGTTCGATCCATTGTGGAGTTTTTTGGAGTTACTGGCCCAACCCAATCAGCATCGAGCCACGGAAGTGCAGCGCACCAAGCACGATCAAGCTGCCCAGCAGGCCTTGATGGAGCAACGGGGCAAAGGCTGGGCAAAGGCTGCCGGGCACAGGCCGGGCAAAGGTGTCAAACAGGAAGATTCTATCAACAAAACTCATGGCCAAGTACTTAGACAGTGAATGACAATGACAGATCTCCAGACTTCAAGTCTTCTAAATCAAATTTTGCAAATGGTTTTCCGTACTCAATCCCCACATCATCATAAAATCTGACAGCGGCAACCAGTTTCGGCATAGAACATGGTTGGTTTCATATTGAGCGCTACTTGAAAGGATTGAGTATCCAAATGCACTCCATAAGCCATAAGCTTGCTGAAATCCGAAAACGCAAGTCTATCTGCGTGAATCTGCAGACCATGAAAACATATGGGATGTCCAAGTGCTTAAGTCTTAAGATGTCTTCGATGTCAGAAGCCTCCTCCAAATTTCTCCACAGAATTAACCTTTCTCCATGTCAAAGTACCAACATTCAGGTCAAAGGCTCCTTGCCACGGCAATCACGTGTCGCATGGGGCTGGGACCGCCTCCCGCGCCTCCCGAGAGGACATCGAAGAGATGGTGAGCCCAGAAGTACATCCGTCCGAAGCACGCCAAGGCAAAGACGCTGACGCTCAGCGCCACCGCGAGGGACGAGGAGAGACTGGAGGTTTTCAGGACGTTCCAAAGGAGGATTGCCTCGGTGATTGGATGGCATGAATGAAATGGTTTAAATGGTTGCCTGTTTTTTTTTGGAAAAGTAACCAAATAAACAATGTCGTAATTTGATGTAATTAGCTTTGCGATGCCATGGCCAACTATTCAGATGATAAAACTGGCGAACTCCTCAAGGTCCTCAACCATCAAGCTGGAGATGTTGGTTCATGCTGTTTCTTCCTTCCACCTGACCTGTTCAAGTTCACACCACACCCGTGTGGGAGCACCAAACACCCTGCAAATTGTGGTGAGTTCAAACATGAGACATAGCTGTTTCATGCTAACTTTTTTTGAAAGCAGGCTTGCTAACAGTCTCAGCATCAAATCTTTGTATACTAAGCTTTGCACCTTTTCTTTGGTGGCCTTGTCATGGTATACCAAGCTCTTTCTCTTTTGGTTTCGAAGTTTTGACTGCATCTGACTCCGCCCAGAAGTATTGGCTGCCATCACCGCAGCATCTGAGGAAGGCCAGGCTTCTCGACTTTGACCACCCTTGCACATGGCCTGGCCACGTAGTCCAAGCATCTCACTGTGGTGAACAAACACAGGTCATCTGGTCAAAGAGTAGTAAACAACCTGCAGTCCAAACAGACCTCTGGTTTTTCTGAACTCATTGCTCCATTGAGCTGTTCCCTCTTGATAGAACCTGCTCCTCAAAGGGTCCAATATTATATTATGCCCTTCCCCCCTCCCCTCCAAAGAAAACAGACTAAATTATGTCTCAAACAAATACATATTTGAAACATCTGCCGTATCCCTTCCGCCCATTTTTCGGTCCTTTTCGCCCTTTTCCACCCCCCCGCCCAGGCCGCTCACCTTGATGTACGGTGCCAACAACGTGGCGCGCTGGGCTTCTTGGCCCCAGCGCACGGCCGGCCGCCGTCGGTCGCTCAACGCCTTCAAAGGCACGGCACAAGCGACGCAGAGCGCAGCGCAGATCAGGCTGATGGTGCTGATGGCAGGGCCGGGAGGCGGCAAGTGGGAGGACAAATATACACCTTAGGAAGATGAGAAGTGGATTACCGGAACCATCTGGAGACAGAAACATGATTGGATATGACTGGCCTGGCGGGAAAAAGAAAGAAATGAACACATGAACAGCAAAGATGTCAAACATTGTCAAACATATTCAAACATGGTTCAGCGTTGAAGAAACTGGCTTGGACATGTGGCAAAACATCACACGATTCTGGATTCCACCTGCTGGGGTCTCATTCACTGATATGGACATGCGAGAGTGCAAACGACTGGCCGTCAAACAGTGCGCAGATTCATCTTCATATATCAGCACCACGGCAAGGATAGTTTATCAACACCCTTGACGATCTATTGTCTCTGCAGGATCCTGCAGGAACTCAGGAACCACCCTTTTGCTGGCATGAAGCATTTTTCATCAGCAAACTGAAGCGATCGATTTCATACAATGTTTGTCCTTAATTCAATTGTACCGGGAGACAGCTGGGATCAACTTACGCTGTGAACCTCCATGGCAATGTCTGTATGTCCAACATGTCTCGAACACATGGAGGATAGAAGCAAACAAACAGGTCGAGCCGTCCTTTAAGGCGAAGATCCACACCGGACCTATCCTCGATGAAACATACCAACACACTTCAGGATTTGCATAGCTTGCTAAAATCACTGCTTGTTTTTTTGCGTCCGTTGCTGCAGCGAAATGGTGACCGTACCAAAAACATTGAACACTGCAACTTGCACCCTGTCTGACTTAGGACACATTCGGTGTCCGTTGCAGCTCGTAGTCGGGCACGAGCTATGCAACATGGCTGACTTCGAACACGCAAAAACAAAAAAACACACAATAATTACTGTAAACCTGGGAGAAAAAACAACCCTCCCAGGCGTGTGAGTTTGTTCCCCTGTATTTTTATCAGTTTTGCAACCTTGCGTCCACGCGTATGGACTCGGCATGGACTCCGTTCGATCGAGATGGGCGGGACTGGACGGGACTCAAGCGGTGAAGATCTGATAGAAGCAACACACAAAGGAATTCTTTGACAAATCCACTTGCCTGCGCGGCGCTTGTACTCACACACGAGAGCTTGGCTATATTTTTGGGTCTTTCAATTGCATACAATACGGGCCTTCTTGGGCGCCATTCTTTGAAAGTTAATTGAACACAATAGAACCACCACAGTCACAACATAGTTGTTTGGAGAAAAATCTTGGCTCAACATCTTTGGCAAATCTTTGATGTTTTCGTTTGACCTACCCAAATCTACCCGGGTATCCCTAACACTTCGACTGTACTCCCACTCCCAAACGACTCAAGACACTCGTCCAAGCGGCAAAGACTGGGCATCAAGAAGATCACCAGCCTGGTGGGTTCCGATCACATGTAGTCACTGATCAGTCTCTTAATGTAGACTCTTGAGTTGAACCACACCAAATTTGGAGCGCAACAACCCTCTTCATGTGGTTTCAATTCATCAACATTCTACATGATCAGTCACTGAATGAATCTCCAAAAAACATGGTTGCATGATGTTAGATCTTATCATACTGACTCAACATGTCTCAACCAGACTCTTCAGTGCGGAAGATCTTCCAGTTGCCATTCCACTAAACTGGTGTTCCTGATGTTGGACCTGATGTGCCAAGGGTGAAGGGCTTCAGACCACACTTGGGATGTGTCCCATGCTTCGGAGGTCCTCACTGGTAACTGGTAGAACTCATCCTTTGGAGGCAAAGGTTCCATGTCAAATGCTTGCAGCTTTGGACAACGTAAGCCCACCATGCCACCAGGTGGGTGTATGTGCATGGAAGACAGCGACCTCTGACCTGAAGCTGATACGAAACGTGAAAGCAAATACCAAATAACACAAACACCACCAGCTGCTGGGTAGGTGATTAATTGTTGCACCCCATGTCCGGCTCGGCGCGGAATTTATGCCGCCCTTGCCCCACTCGTCGGTTCGGCGCTCTCCGACGGCCATGCGTCCAGACGACTTGGTGAGTTTGGTGAAGTCGCCCCAGCCGGCCAGACCGCCATAGAAGCTGCCTCTGGGGTCGACCGGGCCAAGCATCGGTGAGATTGATTGAAAGAGAAGATGAAACGAGCACAGAACAATCACTCACCATCACTGTAGCTGGTTCAACATGCAGAAGTTTCTGGAAACTCCTAAAAATTTAGATCTGTGAAGATTCTTTAGGTCACTATGACAGTTCCAACTTCCTCAAACCAAAGAGCCCAAGTTGAGCCGCAAAAACCTCACTTCCCGTGCCTAAGCCGAAAGCCAGCAAGGCCACACAGGCCACCCAGGCGGCCAGCGTCTGCGTGGCTAAAGCAGCCAACAGGAGGGGCGTGGGGCCGAAAAAGGCGTGAGGAAAGCCTCGGGAGCTCTTCGACTCGGTCCCTGAAGGCGAGTGGAGGGTGGAGGGTCACCTGCAGGGATTGCTTTGTGGATTGCTTTGTGGGTTGCTTTTGGAACTAGTTTGGATATGTTTTCATGTGGATGGAGATGACTGGCTTGGGATCGAGATCAAGGAAACAAATACGATCCACGCGGGTGTTCCGTCGGTTCTTCTTCCCCTTGCGTGTGCACACATGACCTGAGGCCCATGCAACGGTTCGTTTTGTCGTGCAACCCAGAGGCCCATGAAAGCACCAGGAACGGAGAGCAAAAGCTCCAGCCAATCCTCATCCAGAGGTGGCAACCCCAGAGGCTCAAGGGCCTGCATTCTTTCACTGCTTGGTATGGCTGTATTAAGTGCTTTATAACATTCAATGTAATGTTGATTGGTATAGTTTGACTTTTGCCACTTCTCACGGGCGCTGGATGATGTGATATAAGTAGATCCAATCTTCGCATGACAGCTCTCGGAGAAGGACGACAAACAGTCCAAGCAAGGAGTTGGCATAGGCTCGCAACAAGTGGACAATGTTGAAGGCGACAAGTATAATTCATAGCAAGCTGGAGTTCATCAACTCCACTCCACCATTCAGAGACTTGATTGTGTGAATTCCTTCTTACTTACAACCCCAGGGGCTCCAAACGGCGCTCTGCCACGCTCCTCAGTAGGTAAGTAGACCCTCCAAAGCCACCTAAAAAAACAAAAACACACCTTCTCAGGGTTTGTATCCATCAAACAGTTGCCCTTGCCTTGGATCATCACCCTCCAAATGTACTGTCACTTACCTCTATAGTCTTTACAGTAGACCTGCAGTCAAAGCCTCGGGGAGCTTCATCTGAAAGACCGGCCGACTCAGGCCTGAGCAGCGTGTGCAAAACAAGTTGGTTGTTGCACTGAAGAGCGAACCCCACCAAACCGAGACGTGTGTTTCTGGCTGCTTGCTCTGGATTTTCCAGCCAGAACATCAATAGGAAAAAACGCAAACCCCCCAAAATCTCCATATATAGCTGACAAGTACAGTAGTGCATGTGACTGGATTCTCCATGGAACTCTCAGATTTGAGCAAATCGAATGTCTTTGCTCCATGAAGAGCTGAACACCCACGTCATCCGGTCGGTCGCTCCATCCGTCGCTGTCGGGTGTCGCTCCATCCGCTGAGCTCCACACGTTGGTCCAATCGCTCCAAGCGCTCCATCCGTGCGCCCCGGGACCACGGTCCACGACCGGTCGGCACGGGCCGTGAGCCGCAGAAGGCCAGGCTCCCGCAGAAGGCGAAGAAAGGGAGGCTCCGCCGCATGGAGCGGAGCGGAGCGGATCTGAATATGCTTGGCTGATGGAGAAGGGCTGAAAAAATTGGTTTTCTTTGATAGGGGATGAGTGGGGATGAGTGGGGAGTGGGGGCAAGTATATATATATATAGATAGATAGATTGCAACCTGTTTATTTTGCATGCTGGTTCCGTCCGTGGTCTTCGAACCAGCGGCACCCGACTTGCGACCGGACCCACCAAGGGAAGGGGGCGACGGTCGGTGTCCACCGTCCTCCGGTTCATCGGGCCATGTTCTTTGTTTTGTTTTCTTCTCCTGGGGTTTGGATGAAAGAGATTGAAACAGAATGTACTGCACATTCCCAGTATTCTTCCGGGGTTTAGATGGGTTTGCTATTTCAACCAGCTCGAGATCTGGAGATATACAGCTGTCTCCGAAGGTTGAACGGACATCGACGAGGTAGACGGCCTCGTCAGAAAGGTCCATTCTAGAAATGACACATCGATCAGTAAATATAGTTGTGAAATGTGTAATCTGTATTCAAAGGATTTCAATTCGTTGGGGAGTTGTGAAAATGAACCATCACTTCTAGAAATGGGATCCTTCAGAACAGCCGCTTGCATTCCAGTAGTCTCTGACTACCACGCCGAACTGCTGCGAGCGAACCGAGTCAGGTCTCGAACTACTGGACGCAGCGGCGAACTGCTGCGAGCGAACCGAGTCAGGTGATCGATCACAACTTTGAAAACTTTTGAACAATGACTCGTGATGATTGGTATAGGCATTTTCGAAGAGACCTTGGACGTGACAACACTTAATTGTTAAGAACTCACTTAGACTTGGATCCAACCTGCTACTGACTCAGCTAATCATATCAAATCACCTCCAAACTTCTCCAGCCCAGTTCCATTGCTTCGACCGACCCCACCGGGCTCATCCTCACCCCCGCTTCCCGCTTCCGCCGCGCTGCGCCCCTTTTGGGTGCCCCCCGATGGTGTTCTCCGTGAAGAGTCTCGCCAGTCTCGACGAGAATGCTAAAATGATCGATTGAGCCCAGGAAGAGTTGCCGTGTTGGTGCCGCCCATGTTTTAAATGTTCTTGTCTTGTTGTGCCATGCAAAAAAAGAACTGAGAAAGCAATCCATTTGCTTTTCATTGGCTTTCTGTAAACCAAATCACATATAAAAAATACTAAAAATTACATGTGTGTCTTCCTGTTTTTGCTTCTCAATGCCGCCCAGTGGCAGTACGCTTTCGGACTTGGAGATATTTCCATGCTAAAGAGAACGACGTGGTCTTGACCCTGTGGTCGCCACATCAAAAACAAACCTGTGAGGATTAAACACATGGTTCTCGATGGATAGTAGCAAATCAGCCCAACATAGCGGACAACCAATTCGTTAATTCATCAATCTGGTGGAGAATTCCCCCCATGCCATGGATCTACAGTAACCGTTGCAGCCGGCTTGCAAAGTCAAAGGCCCTTGATGTGGTCATCAAAACATATCAAAACAGTCTCCGATCCCCAGCCATCGAGAACGGATCGGGATTGTGAACATGAGTTTGTGGGAGGTGCTTGCTTTGATGTACCATATCAGGAAGTCCCTGGAACAGTGCCCTGCGGCGATCCGCGAGGCCGCGAGTCCATGAATCTCCACGATGCACACGGCATCGCGATGCATCGCGGCATCGCACGGCACTGGGCCAATCTAACCCCATTCCAACCCCCGCCCGAATCCAAGCCCGGGCCAGCGCGTCCGGGAAAGCGCGTCCCTGACAGGTGGAAATAGTGCGTCTTGAATAGAAACTAATATAAAAACAGTTGCTGATGTACATCAACCGACAATTTCTCGACCCTTGCTTGCAATCTTCTTTTGCAGCAAGACCATAAGGTTTGAGTCCTTTCCAAAAGCCCAACAACGCTTCCTGAGTGCCTCCGCAAAAAGAACCGTCTGGTGGGTATTGTCCGAATTGAAAGTCCGACCGGACGGTGACCAAGAGAAACCGAGACTTTAAGAGACAAAACCCTTGGAAAGTAATGCTTTGGTTTGATTTGTTCTGCCAGGGGCTCTGGTGGAGGTCTATGTTGGAATGTGCTGAGTTGGAAGATCCACTGAAAACATGGTTCATCAGTACGTGTGCCTGTCTTTTGGACTTTTCTGATGGTTCATCCGTACTTGAACTTGTTTCATTGTTCAAAAAGTAAATACATATATATATATATCCACATGATCAGCCAACATGGGATTTTATGCCCACTACTCTCAACTTATATAATGGAGAACCGACTGCAATTGGTGGCATTGCCAATTTGTTCCAAAGAACCCGGGACTTTCCGATGGCTTTCAGGACAGCATGGATCTGAAGATGTGGCATCCGCAACAAGCCTGGAACCTGCCACGACACTGGAGAGTAAGGAGACATCCAGCTTGGCTGTTTCCTCTTGCGAGCCCCCGTATGAATAATCTTTCTAGAAAGCATAGTAGTGATCTGCAGTGTACTTCCACAGGTGGAACAAACATCTTGTAGACTCTTGATTTTTACTAATCCCTCCTTTGGATTGTCAAACCTCTTCGAGGGTGTTGATCAATCGAGAGTCTAGCCCTTAGGTGCCTAGGTCGACTTACAAATCATTCCCTACGACCTAACCTGTCAAAATCTCAACACTCTGAATCAAAGTCCTCTTCGATACCCTAGGCTTGGACCCAGGCACGGCCGCAGCCGTTTTTCAGAGACTACCCAGCCATGGGGTTCTGGCGCCAGCAGCGGTGCTCGGTCCGTGCAGTCCACGTTTCTTTGTGTTGAAGGTCGTCGGCGTGTTTTTTTTCCAAAAGAAGGCTACCCAAAATAAACAGCAGTAGGGAGTGAAGACAGCATCATCTCCCTTCGGTCCACATTCCAAGTGCCTGCTGTTGTGGATATTAGGGTTGGTTAGGGGCCAGCACAAGCCGTATTTTCCATCACCTGGAGCAATAGAAGAGATAAAATAGTGTAAGACAAGCTTTGGCTACGTGATCATGCTCTTATCTACTAGGTGCGACTAGTACTGCTCGGGAGCATAAAAATAAACTCAATTGGAGGGTACTAACTCCAATGCACTATCTTTTTTTTTCCTTTTTTTCGGGGGCCTCCGGGCCTCGTTTGGAATACTTTAGTAGGAGGTCTTGTTACACCCAGCCGTGTTCCGACTAGCAAGTCACGTTCGAAGAGTATCGATACTTCATGTGGAGCCCGGGGCCAAATCTCGTTCACACGCGAAGTTCGAGCAGACATGCGCCCCATGTCAGACGACAACTTTTGTAACAACCAATCTAGAACATGGCTGCTCAAAATCGTTGACCTAGTGTTGAACACACCCTGGTGCTCATGTAACTCATGTTGTGCTGTTTTTCTCCACGCTCAGACAACAGGGAACATCGAACTGTCCTGAAAAGCAGTTCACTTTCGCAGGACAACTTGGAATTTGAAGTTCAACATGTCGTGAAAAATCCCGCTCCGTTCGCCCCCCATCACCAGGTCGACACGAGCCCTCCTCGCCACGAACCCCAGCCAGTGCTCAGAATTGTCGGCCGTCAGGGCCTGAACAGCGCGGTATAGGAGGTGTATAGCAGGATGAGTTCATGGCCTCCAAAACCAACAGATGTCATAAAGACTGCTTCTCCCCATGACTTCTTCCCCGTGACTGTCGGCACGAGCGGGGGGAGCAACCGGTACGAACCGTACGAACCGGTGCTTCGTTGTTCCATGCGTTGTTCGATGCGAACCCGTCGATGCTGTCACCACAGCAGTCAGCGAGTCAGCGAGTCGATGCAGGTCGGTTTTCTGAACGGGTGGAAGTGGGTGAAGGTCAAAGAGCACAATCTATCATACAGTCATATATATTATTTATACATCATACAGTCATGTCTATCTACACTGTTTCTACAATATGCAGATCATATACTGTTTCCCAAGAAGTCCGTGCCACCTCTATCCACTACCTGCCCAAAGAACGGGACTTAGCCGACCTAGGGATCAGTGGACACCGACCTAGGACACTTTTCTCTTAAATCTTTACCAACTCGCAAGCATACAACGATGTACGGCAATATCATGATAACGATAACGTATAGGTTAGAGCCGGATTCGGAAACTAATCGGTCGGATTCTGAAACTAGGGTTCTGAAACTGGGGTTCTGAAACTAGGGTTCTGAAACTTGGCTTCTGAAACTAGTATTCTGAAACTGGGGTTCTGAAACTAGGATTCTGAAACTGGGGTTCTGAAACTAGGATTCTGAAACTGGGATTCTGAAACTTGTATTCTGAAACTGGAAAGTTAGATTCTGCAACTGGTATTCTGAAATATTCTGAAACTGGAAGTCAGATTCTGCAACTTGCCTTCTGAAACTTGCAACTGGAGATCTCCACATCATGCAATAGCGTGTGCCTGTCACATCACCTTTGAAGCACATCCAAACCAACGTCATTAGACCCCCACCCAACCCCCCCCACCCCCCCATCCCCCCTTGTCCCCATCGTGTGATCTTGACATCACGCCAACCCCCTCATCATTCAAGTTGCGGAATCCAAGTGAGGGAATCCACAATGTTGCGGAATCTAGTTGCGGAACGCCAGTTGTGGAATCCCAGTTGCAGAAACCTAGTTGCGCAAGCCTAGTTGCGGAATCCTGACAGTTGCGGAATCCTAGTTTCGGACTCCTAGTTGCGGAATCGTAGTTGCGGAATCCCAGTTGCGGAATCCCAGTTGCGGAATCCTAGTTTCGGAATCCTAGTTGCGGAATCCCAGTTGCGGAATCCGACCAAACAGTTGCGGAATCCTAGTTGCGGAATCCTGCGCAGTTGCGGAACTCGACTTGATCCATAACGTATATGTTTCAGACACCGTTTCTGTCTGTCTAATTAGACGTGTTTTGAAGGTCTAACATGTTCATCGACAAGCAAAGCACAAAGAAAGCATGATGGACCGCAAAAAAGCAAGGCAACAGCCAATCTATACTATGCCAATCCCACCATCTGTTCACCCCTCCAACCATTTCTTTTCCTTCTCTCTGCCCTCCTCCAGCCGTC